TTTATTTAAACAAAAACAGATGTTGAAATCAAACTATAAAAAACTAAAAAAACATTGAAGAGAAGAAAGTATTTACAATTACAACAGTTAGAAAAAAACTATTGTACCCCTTTTAAAGTAATGTTCATTATAGTCAAATATCTGATTGAGTAACTTGTATTGATACTATGGCTAAAGTTAATAAAAAACGTATTAGTGTATATTTCAACAAGCCTAGCAGAAAAAATATTACTGTGCTAGACAGATTAAAAGAGGAATAGATAAAACGTTTGAGCAGTATAAGTGTCAGACGAATCCTTGATAAATACATTTCTGAGTTTTAAAGTGACGTGCATAAATGCTGGTGAAATAAAAAAGGTTATGTGCAAAAAAACAAGAACAAATAAAAACTATATATCGCTCGCTACACTTCATGCATTAATTTTCCACCTACTATAACTATGAGTGCCGAATCTATAACAATGGAAAGTTGTATCTCGTAGTAACGAGCTGTAAAAACGATAAGAGAAAACTTACTTTATTTTCCATTTGTAATTGCTGAATGGTTTTGGATGATTGTACGGGGAAAAAATCGTCTTTTTTTGAAGCTTTAAAAGCACCTGGCTGAGCCAAGAAATCTAAATTAGCAAATGGGCTTGTTACAGCTGGGATTGGAGCCACTGGTAGTGGAAGAGAATACGGCTGTTGTTGTTGTTGTTGTTGTTGTTGCATTGGATGCAAGGAAGATGGTAGCAACGGCGGTTGCATGGTGTTTGAGAACGACGGTGTTACAGTTTGTTGTTGAGGTTGAATAGGAGTTGACATCACACCAAATTGTTGAAGGATAGGCGATTGATAATGTTGTGATGAACTGACACCGTATCCTGCTTGTTGAGGCTGATTAAATATCGGCTGTTGAACAGACTGCCATTGTTGTTGCAGCATAGGATTTGACTGGTGTTGTGGGGGCTGCATGAACGTATTTTGGAATGGATTCGATGGTTGGGTAGGGGCAGCGAATACTGAAAATAAATCATTTGTTTCAGCAGGGTTTGATGTTGTTGATTGCACTGGTGGACTTGTATTAGATGTCGGTATACCCCAAGCAAAATCATCATTAAGTACCTAAAAATACAAAATTTTATCGATGTTCAAAATGAAATATGAAATTTAGAGAGTTTTTCAAACGTACTAAGATGCACAGAGAGATTATGAAAATCTGATTGGTACTACAAGCAGTATAATAAAAGATATTTGAATACAATAATAGTTACCGTTTAGAAGATCAAAAATATGTTCTGAACGAAATAAGAGAGTTACAAAATTTCAGAAAAAACCTGAGAACTATGTTAACATTTTTAGACGATTTGGTGTATTCGAAGAATTTTCAATTTTGTTTTCAAAAATCAAGTTATAGGTTTTTTTGCACAATTTTCACCATTTGGATTCTTCCAAGTCATACAGAAACTTAACTGCTGCCCTTGTCAATTAACTACGTACGTTAACACTTTTTTGTTGTTGTACTTGCATTGGTGGTTGTACTTGCATTGGTGGTTGTACTTGCATTGGTGGTTGTACTTGCATTGGTGGTTGTACTTGCATTGGTGGTTGTACTTGCATTGGTGGTTGTACTTGCATTGGTGGTTGTTCAAGCCCAAATAAATCTGGAATGGCACGAGTGTTTTGATTTGCTGTTGGTTGAACTGCTTGCTGTACTATGGGTGATCCCCATAAATCTAGCTTATCTATGCTCTAAAATAAAATGAAAGTTTCATTATTTGAACAAATACTAGAGACTGGAAATACTTGTGTTGTTGTTTGTTCTGGAGTTTTAATTGGAGTTTGATTGAAAGCATCAAATACCGAATTACTGGAAGAATGTTGAATCTGAAAAAAATGTAGAGCACTCGAATAGAAAACATTACAAGAGAACACTATTAGGTTGATTTAACTCTATATGCATTATTTACTTGTTGAGTCGTAGGTTGTTGCGGTTGCGGTTGTTGAGGTGGTGGCAAATCAGCGAAGAAATCAACAGTTGTATTCGTCGGCGATGTCACAGATGGTAAAACCGGCTAAAATCAGATAATTATCACTGTCGAGCTACATCAGAGACTAATATAATAATCACTAACAGCTGGCGGCTGTTTCTCTGGTGGTGTTACAACTGGTGTTGATGTCGGAATTGGTGTAGTTATTGCTTCCAGTTTTGCTTTTTCATTCTTATTGTTATATTGTTCAAATGCTGTGTCAAATAAGTCTTTTAATGATAGTACAGTTAAGACAGCCTGAAATTAACAAAAATCAAATATACGATCTTACACTTAAAGATCCTAATATAATGTAAACCTACCGCTCGTTCAGTTTTTATTGCCCAAAACTGATGTCTGTCATCAGTTGTATTATAAACATATCCAAATGCTCGTGGATCTTTTGGATCGATGACCACAAATGATATACGCTCAATGTCATGCGAGATCATAAGAGTCTATATCATGCATAAGATATCTCAATAAGATAAGTTAAAGAAATGGGACCGATAATACTTACTTTCATCACTTCATCATAGAGTTTAACGGCAGACAAGGTTAAATTTATTTGAATTTTTTGTTTATGTTCACCTCTTGCTTTAGCGACGGCTTTTAATTTAAACATTGCGTCTAAACATTTGGGTTCATCACGATCTACTGGTAAATCTTCAATACCTAAACGGTACCTCTCGAAAGTTATCATCTTGTCAGTCTGAACACTTTAAAAGAAGTTTGAAAATGGCTTTTTTGCTAGACTAAACCTCCCTAGAGTGGGCATTCCTACATTATGACCCTATTCAAAAGTTTTGTTGATTCTAAAAACACGAAGATTTTACTGTGACTAAAATATCGTGTATTATTCACTTACCAATTAGTTTTCCCTTAAATGGTAAACCGTCTCCATCGAATTTTGCTGCTCCTGTTAAAGAATTAGAGTTAGAGGATTGCGAAAAGAATATTTAATCAACGTACCATTTGCCAATGATTTTTTAGGCTCGCTGTCATTCGTGGTGGTAGTTTGATCAACATTTGCCATTTTTGTATAACTATTAAGTAATTCTAAGTGAAAAAGTAAGAAAATTTAATTAAATACGCAATATAATTTTCGAATGAGCAAACACCACTCTTTCCAGAGGCAGAATGGGAGCTTCAACAACTTGAGAACTTACGCTTTAGCGTATTAATACAACATAAAACAATTAGATAGAATTTATTTTAGTTTTTGTCCTCTAACTGTCTACCTGAGTTTAAAAAAAGAAAATAATTAGATAAGAATTTTTAAAAAAGAATAATACAAAAGAGAGAAGATCAGAGTGTAAATATCTGCATCTCTCTAAGAGATAAAAACTGTCACACAGATAAGGATGTTGTATGTATGCGTAGTTAGTTGTAATGGTAGAAATGTGAAGAAAAAAATACAAAATGACGTTTTCTTTCGAAAATCACTGATTATACAAAGAGAGGGAGAGAAAAATTCGATAATAGAAAGTAGTATCGAACTTATGAATTTAACAATATAAACTTTTGGTTAGAAAAAACAAAGAGAAAACAATGATATCTCTTATGGGATAGATACTATACGTGTGTGCAAACTCCACGCATAATAGAAGACAATTCTTCATTAGAAGATCATTGTCAATTATGCAATATGAAAGCCAAATGGAAGATCATGGTCTCTTATTCCGGACAAAAATCAGTATTGATGGAAACATTTTTAAAAAGACGAAAACAAAAAATTTGAAGAAATTCTGTTTTTGATCAATCGCTTAAAGCATAATGTTATTTTTTGTACAGACAACATTTTGAGTAAAAATATGCTAAAATTTACAGTAGCTTTAAGTCTAGTCATGCTAATTTATTATTATACACAATGTGACGTTTCGAAATGTACACATTTCATCATCAGACAATGAGATACGATGTTTACTATACAGAAAATTTGATGTAACTGATCAATTTCACAACAACAAATTACATCAGATCAACAACATCAAATTTTCTGTATAGTAAACATCGTCTCTCGTTGTCTGATGATGTTAAATGTGTACATTTCGAAACGTCACATTGTGTATAATAATAAATTAGAATGACTAAATTTAAGGCTGCTGTAAATTGTATCATATTTTTCGTTTAAGGCGTCCCTATCAGGAAAAAGCTTTTTTCTATCACATCCGATTTATGATGCGTACGGTAATTAATGCTTACTGTCCAACTAACTTATGCTAAAAATTTGAGCGCGAAAGCTTGGAGCCAAAAGCTGCAGATGGCCTCAAATAAAAGTAGACACCTAAATCTAAAGTTTTATCCGTAGCGATTTTTGGATTTTGCTTCTTGTTTACACATATTTTAAGTCAGAACTCTGACGGAGTTGTACGGAGGAGTATTTTTCACTTTCTCTGCATAGAAAACGAAATTCAAAAACCGCTATGTATAAAACTTTAGATAAATGTCTTAGCTTCAAAAAAAGAATAAAGGTTTTATGATGAATAGTCTAGGACAAATAGCAGTTTTGCTGCGCCAAAACCATATTCTAAGCAATGACGTCACCACTTCATTAATTATAATTCAGCGCCTTTAGCAAAACTAGTATAACTCTGCAAGGTGAAGTCGCACAAAGCTGCAGGACATCCCATTTTAATCAGGACACTCTCCTCAACATAGCTCCATGTCTGTTAAAACTAACAACTGTAAGAATTTTAATTGAAATTTAGAAAAGGTTGATTTCTAGGGCTTTTAGAAATCTTTTACAAAAACCGCCGAAAACATTGAATGTTTGGCAAACTGAGATGGATTATGAAAGATATCAGTGTGGAATACTTGACTATATGCTTACTTCAGTTTCGAAGAAAAATCAAATTCCTGAGGAGGGACCCTTAACAAGTTTCTGTGTCGCTCTACCATGTAGCTTTAACTCCGCGTTATTTGGTTAATTTTCTGTAGAGCTTTGTCCAAATAATATTCTTGTTGAAGAATTATCTTCGCATACTTATAACGGACGGGAAATGCTGTGGCTTCACACTTCTGAATTAAACGCTAAATAAGATAGTCGTTTCACAATCTACATATCAATTTTGGAAATGCACTTGAAAAAATTCGAGTTATAGAGCCTCAAAGTAACCAATAGTAAAATCCAAGGTTTCAGTAGAGATAAGGAAGAGAGAAAAATACGTCCATATCTATGACTATATAGCAACAATACTGATGTCAATTTAGAAAGCATTTTTTGTTGTTACTAACAAGTGAAAAAAATTCTCGTGATAGAAAATCACCCATCAAGAATTCGAATTGCCAGACAAAATAAGAAGACCAGGTAATCTTGTATTCTGAGTGGAGGTTAGAAGTACAAATGAACTCTTTTTTATATCATTTGATATAAAAAAGATTGTTCAGAATGATGATCTTCTCACGTGTATGCAACTTTTGTAAGATCGGATAGAAGTTGTATTTTGAGACAAGGTTTTTAATACTTTACATCTTTATGTAAGTAAATCTATTGCATTAAATATTTGTTACAAATAAGAATATCATTTTGGAAAACAAAGAAAGTTATTTGATACGTTTCGTCGTTTTTTCACTAGATATTTATAAAAGAGAGAGCGTTTGTAGTTTATGTTTCATACTCTGGTTTGGTATCGAAATTAAGCCTATGCCTGTTATTCTTAAATCATATCAAAAATACTGCAAAAAGTTTCATTCTAGACAACTGAAATGGACAGCTGAAGAAACCTGTCAAAGATTATCCATTTCTATTTAGACTACCCAGTCAAAAAAAATATCAAGAGGAGGAGTATAATGGAGCACTCTTTCTGGAAAAAAAGAAAGGAGTACTCTTTTTCCCAAAAACAGTGCTCCAAAAAAGGAGTAATGTCGATAAGCCTTTTTTAAGAATTACTCCGGAGTGCTTGAAGTGCATGTTCTCAAAAGGAGTACTCTAAAAACTACACCTTTTTTGAAGTGCTCTGCAGTATCTTGGCTATACTTTATAAAAAGAAGCGCTCCGAAGCGCTCTTTTTTTAGGAGTATTCTGGATTACTCCAAAAAGAGTACTCTAGAGTGCTCTTAGTGGCTTTTTTCAAAAGAAGTGCTCCATTTCCCACAAGATGTGCTCCGAAAACGGAGTACACCTTCATACTCCTACTTCTAACCATTTCTTTGACTCGGTACTACTTTATGTAGTTTTTCTTGACATCTCTATTGTGTAATACATCCATCTTTTTGAACCTTTAAAACATTTAAATGAGAAAGAAAAAACAAGTAGAAAGAAATAGACTAAGAAAAAAGTATAATTATATCTCGGCATTTGCTTATTCAATTGAAATTAACGAAATTAAAAAGTTTTAACAGCATAAATCTGGGCAGCTCAGAACGAAATTAAGACAAAAAAATTATGTGAAATTTCAAATAAAATAGCTATCCACAACTCTCCTCTCAGTTAAGCGAATAAAAAAGAACCCATCAAATGTTTTATAATATCCGAACTAGTATTATTGCTCAATAAATCAATCAAAAAGACCTATGTATTATATCTCTGAGGATGTTTAATTCTATATAGCAGGTAAAACAAACAACGTTATTTTTAGAAAATAAATAACTTACTGAGAGCGTCAGTCGATAATCTCATGATTAACCTTTATTTAATTGTTATTTATTGAAATATTTCAGAATTGCGATAAATAATGGTAATTACTAGTACAATACACTAACACATACAAAGATTACGCATGCTCAAAATGATGATTTCGTTTTATTTTCGTTCTATTTTAATTTGATGTGTTACTTGCTGTGCGAGAGATAAAGGTTTAAGAGTTTATCAGTTTCAAATTTCAATTTCATCTTTTTTCTCGCTCCTTTATATGTGAGAATTACTCAAAGCGAAACGTTGATGTTCTTCGGATTTGATAAAATTTGTAACATATAACCAATTGGCCCAACAATGCATACAGATTAAAGGTAGAGCAGTGAATCTCGTCTCAATTTTCCCACTGACCATCCGGTAAGGATTCATGTTGCAGCTCTCACTGTACTCTTACATCTTAGAAAGTTGTGTTGAATTTGTCCATGAAATCAAGTCTTTATCACTACCAATGACGGATCATTATAAATTGAGTTAATAGACAACACAGTGTAGTATAAAGAAATACTAACTGTTCTATCGCAGTTTTATATTATTTTCTAAGAGGAGATGTACTTTTGACCACCAAACTGGACTCTGTTAAGTGTAGTTAATTCACTTGATGATGTTAAAGCTGTTGCTAAATCACATGGTGTTTGTCAATATCGAATACATGATCTTAAAGATCAAATAGAAAGTGATAAACGAATTTGAGTTTGTGTTGAGCTCATCCTCCTCCCCCCCGTCAGGAACCTATTTCTGAAAGCATAAGTCCGATCTTGACCAAACTTTTAGAAAATGCTTGCTGATCTTGTGAAAGTATGGTGATGAAAGTTTTTGTTCGGCTTCATCGTGCATATTTTTCTAATCACATCAGAAATCGGGTTCTATTAGTCTTTAGCCACATGTGTCAGCTTCAGTTTAAGACCTTCCTGAGCTCTCTGCGATGTTTGATTATCGAGAACATCTTGCAGCTACGAAATCGTGTTAAGGTGGAATTGTCATATTTTCTACGTGACTTGTCTCACCAAAACGAGAAAATAAAGAAACGCGTTTTGTTTCGTTTTTCCATACTAAAAAACGGGTATGGAATGGGTACTTTTTATTTTCTCGTTTTCGTGAGACAAGTCATGTAGAAAATTTGGCAATGAGTTTCGAGATATGGTGGCGCCAGTATCTGATGCACGTTTCAGAGCTTCCAGCAAAACTCTCATAATTCTCGACTAAAGCATCATTCAAAGCTGGGAGATCTTATTTTAATCAGAAATGTTTGCTCTATTTCGTGGTATTATTGAAAATTATTCTGGATTTGATTTTTTTATCGGAAAGTAAATTATTTTCGAAAAACCACAGGGCACAGTGGACATACAGGCGGACATTTAACAAAAAATCGAAAGTATGCTTTTTCAAAATGCAAACAGTGTGAAATATCCTGTGATACATCGGCTATCTAACTGCGAAAAATGTTTTATTCCCAGTGTTAAAGTTTTGGGAAAAAATATATAAGGAAAAGCCTGCATGTTAGAGGCGTTTAGGAAAAAGATCGTTTTTTATTATATTAAGATAATTTAAAGCTGTATCAAGTGCATATTCGGATGCTAAAGACTTATCGGTATCCATCAGCGAAAAAACATTTCGATTTGGATCAATAATCGTAGAGGAAAAAAATAAAATTGCCGACGAATTCATGCTCTTTATAGATCCTCGAATTGTAACGAGGCATCCACCGACATCCACCCTCGAATCTAACTCAAAATTATATCAGAATGTTTGCTAACATATGCTGTATCTAGGATGAATGCGGTTTTTTTGCTGGGTCAATGAGACATTCTTGACATTATTGTAATCGAGTTTGGATCATCATTACGATATCGACTACATTTAAATGAATATTTCTTATGATCCTTAAGATCATTTATTCAATATTGACAAACACCATGTGTTTTATCAACATCATTAACGTCATCAAGTGAATTCACTTCACTTAACAGAACCCAGTTTGATTCTGACATTTTTACAAATGAGGAAACTTGAAGGGTGTATAAATGATGGCCTAGAAGTCCTGTCTTATTCAGTATTTTCTCAATATCTCGGTCAAGGTTGGTCGTCAAGTCTCAACCTTTTCGTTTAAACCTCATTCACTTCTCTACACAAAACATATTAAATATTTCTTTATATACTATAAGAATAAAAAAATATAGAGGAAATACGGACGAGAAAGCTTCAATATCGATTACTTTCAGATCTGAAGCGCAACCCAAAAATATTTATTTTGAACACGGTGCCGTGCATCAAAGTGGAATCAAAATGTATTTTCTGGCGTTCCAGAAGGTCAGCTTTCTTTTCTTGTATCAAAAGTTCGCTACAAACCTTTTCATCTGCCACGAACGAAGATTTTACTAAAAGGAAAAGAAAAGGAAAAATTTAATTTCTTCGCCTTGGCCCAGGAAACGAAATGGGGCTATTCGACTTTCTCTGTTCGAATGTAACAGAAGAATTATTTTGGTTTTAAGATAAACCAGATCTAAAGTCATAGTATGTGGTTTAGACCAAATTTTCCTAAGTGCCTCAAAATTGCCGTTAGAAATGGGCAAAATCGCTCTTCCTTCGAAAGTTTGAGCCGTTTTTCTGGAAAACCAGTTTTTCAGAAACTCTAAAAAATAATCAAAACCTTTTCTTAATAAGACATGATTATGATCTAGAAGTTTCTGATTAGAATGAGACGTCTTCCAGCTCTACACGACCTTTCTTTGCAAAGTTGTAGAATTTACAAGAAAAGTCCTGAATTTGCTCTGAATTTTTCAGAGTTTTTCGAAACTAGAGATGAAGTACCAGTTATGGTAAGCTCTTGGTTTTTGAGTGAGCATTTGATTTGTCCTTCAATTAAATTCTTCTGAATAGTTACAGTTCTTCGAAGTTTCTTCTTAAGCTGATAGACTGACGATGATCTTCAATTGTGGTTTCAGTGCATCACCCTCTTCTGACGATTAGTATAAGAAGGGAACTTCCCGAGATACCCACTTCTGATTCAAATGCTTTGTATCGATAGACCTCAGTGAGGTAGTAAATACCCTAAAAGGATTCGGGTCCATGACTCTTGCAGACCCGGTTGTCTGGAAAACCAGTTTTTCGGAGGCTCTAAAAAATAATCAAAACCTTTTCTTAATGAGGCATGATTGTGGCCTAGAAATTTCTGATTAAAATGAGACGTCTGCCAGCTCTACATGACCTTTCTTTGCAAAGTTATAGAATTTACAAGAAAAGCTCTAAATATTCATTGTCAGCTCAAAGCTACAGAAAAAAGAAATTAATTCAGGACTTCTCTTGTAAAGTCTATAACTTTGCAAAGAAAGGTCATGTAGAGCTGGAAGACGTCTCATTTTAATCAGAAACTTCTAGGCCACAATCATGCCTCATTAAGAAAAGGTTTTGATTACTTTTTAGAGCTTCCGAAAAACTGGTTTTTCAGACAACCGGGTCTGCAAGAGTTATGGGCCCGAATCCTTTTAGGGTATTTACTACCTCACTGAGGTCTATCGATCCATGTATAAAGCATTTAAATCGGAAGTAGGCATCTTGGGAGATTCCCTCGTAAGTAAAACTCAGTTTTTTGATTGCTGTCTATAGTCCTTCCTACTCATGACTCTTCTAAACCCAATACATAAACTTGCTAAGATGAAAGTATCGGTTCATTTGTTATCAAGAAGTCGACTTAGAGATATAGTTATATCAAAACCTTAGAAAGTAGTTAATGGTGCGAGATGTGTATGTAACTCGGTTTGCCAGAAAATCTCTAGGCAATCTTGATTTTTTATTATCAAAAATGAATGTGAACATTTTCTTGTCATTGAGTTCCTCAAAATTTGATATAATAAACTGAAATAGGCTGAACTATATTAATGTGTAAAGCAGAATGGAAAAGAATATTCTATGAAAATGGCAAAACGCAGAAGAACGAGGAAAAACCGTAATTTTCCTTCGTTTTCAAATATATCCCTCTTATCTGTTTTCTAAGTTACGATGTCTAAAAATGCATTTTTCACTTCATATTTGTGATGGTTGATTGTCTAAATTATAACCATATATAAAGTAATTGCCATATAACATTTCTAATCAAAAATACAGAGATGTGAAAGTTTCTGTATATAACGGATGCATCAAGCATATGTAAAAATGCTATATGGCATACGTAAAATGTTGACCTAATATAGTCAACATTTTTTCCAGTATGTGAAAGTTTAACACCTGTGGAAACATCTTATTTTTATACAGTACCTACGACTTTGTGTTCTTACGTATTGTAAACAACGTTTTAAAAGATCTATAGTATTTTTGAAGGTAACAGCTTTTTTGAGGAAAACTGGAGTTTAAATAAAGTTCTTTCATCATCTCTGGATTTCACAATTCAAATCACTTTCATGTTTGTACTCCACATGTTATTCAGGTTCGAAGTTATTCAGATGATTAGCCGACAACCTGGAAGAATGCTGTAGATGCAAAGGGTCTATCATATGTTTCCATGGATTTTACATTCCAGGCGATACAGTCTTTTTCGAAAATAAGAATTTGAGAATATCGTTGAAGAACAAGTCTAGTTCTCCGAAAATTCTGGATTCTCTCGCAAATATTCAGCTCTCATCTATCCAGAGCTATTTAAAGAATGATCAAGCCTACTGCTTCATTTTAATCGACAATAGCCACCTGTGTTTTGGTAATATTAAATTTAACAATTTTCATAATGATGAAATGATAAGATAAAATTTCTCTTTTCTTTTATAACATAAGTTCTTCTGGCAAAGAAAATACAACTCTTCAAAAGCGCATAATTCTTTTCGTCAAAAGCGTACACCTACTTTTCGCTTCGTTTCTTAAACATTACCCTAATAGTGCTACGAGAAGTACACTGTTACCGACAGAAAATGCTTATTCATTCCAGCATTAGTCGGTCAAAAAGAATACTAATGTAAGAGCTAAACGGGGTGCAGATCAGAATTACAGGCCAAGATATACTGACTCTATGAGACAGTCTTTAATTTCGAATCTGTTTTTCCTGTATGATATGCGGATGTACAGGCATATGTATATTTCAAATATACTTTGATACATATTTTGTTAAATAAGATGTTTCATATAAAAGATATCTTTATAAATGTGTATCCTCTAACGCATAAATTCCACTGACGTGAAACGACTTATGTAGTTTACTATAAAACACAAGACACATTTACTTTTTCAATATTTGTTTTTTCATATGAGATCGAAAAAAAGTCGACATTTTTTTCTATCCTGAACATCTCTCTATGGCAGTAGATCGTGGCTTATGTGCAATAGCTGTTAACAAGAACTGGTTGATCTCGAAGTGTGTAGATTCCTCTGCATAAATAGACATTTTTGAGAAGACAGACTATTGCGAGTGTTGATGTCTAGTTAGAATATGTACACTAGACACTACATATCAGTAAACGCTACTGCTATTCATTTGCTGTTGAAGCTCAAGAAAAATAATATTTATTGTTAAAAATAATTTGATTAAGAATTATTTACAATCTTTTGTCGATCGAATTTCTATTTTACATGCATTCAGCTAGATGTATCTTGCTTTGTTTTACAATGCATATCAATGAATTAATGAATGTTATATGATGCCATAAAAAAACGGACAAAAGTCTCGAAGATTTTGATCATAAAAATGTGAAAAATTACAACACAGAAGATCAAGACTATGAGAAGCAATACAGCAAAGCATTTATTAAAATGTATTCCAATATCAGAAAAGAATGATGAAAAATCAATGAAGAAAGATAATCAGCGTCGACACATAAACGGGACACGTTAAATCTCAGAAGCGAGAGAGCATTCATTTAAATGATTTGAAGAGAGTTTTTTTGACTTGTTCTCTTTATTAACCGACTAAAATCAAAGTGATGTAAGGCCTCATCCAGATGAGTAATTATCAATACTAAAGTTTAACTAAACTTCAATCTATGTATTCAATTCTCTCTATGTGGTGACCGTCCTTTGGTACTTAATGTGCAATAAGTTCCTCTTTTTGCCATAGTACAAAGTGTTCTTGATGATGTGTACATTTGTTCTAGTAAATCGCCTTTCTCAAATGGCTCTGAGCTTTGTCCACCATAGCAATGATAGTTCTGATGTTGCTGAATTTGTTTTGATTTTTTTGTATTTCTAAGTAGCGTTAATTTCCATTTAGAACATAGACGTTTTGATTCACGTCGAAATCTGGCGCCAAAAGCGATATAAATATAAAAATTCATGGCAAAAGAAATATGATGAATATAATGAAAATAACCTTCTAATGTATTTAAAAGCTTGCCATTTGTCTTATTATGTCGTAATAATCTCCATGTATGAGTAAAGAAGTAGGGACCACAAACAATTAGATATGAAGTTGATACGGTTAATAATAATTTTGTCATTCTTCTACTCGCATTTCGACGTGTTATTTCACGTGCTTTATTCACGTGATTTATTTTCGTTTCACCAAAACCAAAATTTTCACGTTTCATACCGTACGTAAGTGTAAACAACATAATACTGTTCATAGTGATGACATTCACATAGGGTATTACAAACACAACAAAACAGTCTACGATGTCCATCAATTCATTGATCCATCGAGTAGAGTTACGAGAAAAACACATTTTTTTACTACTACCCGGCACTGGTACAATAGTTACTAGAAATAGTATGTAACTATAGAGAAAACATCCAAGAACAATAATGAGTAGTGCAATGCATTTTGAACGGTACCATGAGAGAACATCACTGGCTCTAAATGGTTTTGTCACAGCAAATAACCGTTGAGCAGTGAACGATACGGTATAATAGGCATTTATGAAATTACAAACATACGTACAGTAAAGTGTCAATTGACAAATAACGGGACGATGTAAAATATTGACGAAATTACTTAACCATAACAAGAATAATATTATTAAATAGAGAGTGTCTGACATAGCCATATACAATAAAAATGGATAAACGCTAACGCTATTGCCGGATGAACCAGTTCTCAACGTTTTTTGTCCAAATATAATAATGACAAATAGATTACCGATACAACCAACAATAACAACAAGTAATAAATAAATATACTTAAAAAAAAAGTCAATATAATGAGTAGCGTTAAATCCTGTAAAATTTGTATTAGTCGTGACATTGTTCAGTGGAATTACTGACGTTGTCGATAATGATGCTAATTCCGACATTTTGACTAGCTAAAAGTATAACGAGTTGAGATAACAAGACTTCATGTTTGACATCATTTTCTTTAACAGGATTATTAATTAGTTTTAAGAGTGATCTCAATTTGGAAATCGAAGGACATACATTTCTGAAATTGATCTAAAAGTAACAGTACTGTCTCATATGAAACTATAAAAATAGAGAGTGCTATAGTCTTGAAAAACAATTCGCATTGCTGGTTTGCCGACAATTCCTATCATGTCTACAAATCTATATTTTTCTTGTATCACAACTAAAAGTAGCCAGAATAGTATATTATAAATCCCTACCCGTAACCATAGACATTCTCTGAATAGAAGATTATTCTCTATTAGAAAACCAGTCTAAGATTTGTGACTTGCGAGTTGGAATAGAAGTCTTTTGTTACTGTTGCATTCTCTGGAAAAAATGACTACATGTTTAGAATAAAGAGAATGAACGTTCTTTTGATTACGTGCAGAGATCAGGGAAGTATGCCTTATTATAAATGACTGCGTGGCACAAGAGGTCTAAATAAACTATTATTTACATTGAGTACACCGTAATCGGCAACAGTGAAATGAAACAGGATGTAATCGTCATTTAAGAGGATAAAAACATCATTGTCAGTCGCTGAAAGAAACAAAAACATTTTTTTCCACAGAAACAAAAGAGAAACAGGCAAGAGATAACTGCATTTACGTTACATTTAATAATTAATGCGGTGCGAAGCAGAAAACCGCATTCTAGCAATCAGCGTGGTGTTTTTTAATCCGCTTTTTTGTATCATTTTCATACGCTGTTTGTTCAAGATTTGAAAAGTGTGTAAGAAAAATAGAAAAACGAGAATATGGAGTGGATTCTAAATATGGAAATGTCCCGTTTTGTAGTTTTGTAGCACATTTAGTTTCTTGTCTAGAGCATCTAAAAGATGGTAGATCGACGTTTTGCGACATAGAAATTTTACAGTAGAAAGAGATAATTGGTGTGGTGAGTGTACACGCGCCATGTAGGGTGAAGAGAACACCTTTTCAAGTTGGCTTGTAACCAATAAGCCCGCTATCCGTAATTGATATTGTGAATCATCAGTGTTTTTTACCTCTCGTCGCACTGCTGTGTTACGAATAATTAACGTAGTGTTATGAGAGTAATTGCTATGTAATTATAGCGATTTCTAATCACGCCGTCAGTAACGGTGTCAATATTTTTCAATAACTAAGTAATAATTAGCCTTTTCCTTCCTGCTCACTCTAAGATTTAACTGTACACACTATTTAGACA